GATAAAAAAAAAAATCAAAGAGTTCGGGTAGACAAAACCCATTCTGTGAAAAAATACCCAGCTTCCCACGTCTGACTCAGAGCTGAAATCTCCAGCTGGTGTCATATCCTTTCCCACCAGCATGAGCGCTGTTATCCAAGATGACGACAACGGGAGCCAGCCATCACTAGTCGATCACGGAAGTTTGCACTGTTCTCTGCTCTGTTTTTAAGAGGGCGCTCAGCTAATCGTCCTACGCCGCTGTGTTGGTGCTTTGGAGACAGCGTGAGCGGAGACGGAGGAGGCGTGTACGGGAAACGTTCAGGTACCGGTTAGGAATAAAGGAATATTCCACGAAGAAGTGTCTGTGTAGCTGCAGGGGGACTACAAGTCTCAGCGCGTCTTCCCAGGTAGAGTATTCTGCTTGTAATGTAACTGGAGCTGATAAGGCCGCAGAGCTCTCTGCTTGCTGCTGGACCCTACCTAGTCCTGAGTCTTGACACCTAGTATATAGCTTGGCTGCTGTACACTCCACATGCTGTGTTCCCTCTGGGTACATTAGCACCATATGTGACACAGCGCAGTGTTTTGTATGCTTACATCTTGCTTGGTCATACAATAAAATCCATATTTTACATAGATTGTGTTTACACCGCCATCTCTGCGCTCGCTTGTAGTGCCACTATTGTGCGTTTTTGTTTTTTTTTTTTTTTTTAATATTTATAACTAAAGGCAATATTTTTAGCTTTGGATAGATTGCAGAGGGATTAGAACGCTTGTCAGGTTTTATTGCTGTCAGTGTCCCCATTAGGGAGATTCACTCTCTTTTTGTCCTGTATATCATGAAAGCAAAATAAAATTCCAAACTTTGGGTTGTCCCCATAAAAGTAATAGAAGGGAAATCTTCCAATGGGGAGACTAGTTCTGGTGACCTGGGGGTCCCCAAGGAATTCCCTAAAGTGGAGCCCCCCACTTCCAAAAAAAAAAAAAGTTAGCAGCTACAAATACTGTAGCTGCTGAGTTTTAATATTAGGGCACTTACCTGTCTAAGTGTCCTCACCCCGAGCTGATCCATCAGTCGGCTGCTGGCACCATCATCTTGACTAATGGAAACCGACAGTGAAGCCTTGCAGAATTACAGCTGGTTTCCTACTGCACATGCGCGAAGTTCGCCTTTCAAAACAAGGTACCCACCTTCCCATCCCCCCCAAAAGCCACAAAATGTGGCAGATTAGTGGAGCTTCCACTTCTGGGTGGAGTTCCGCTTTAATTTCCAAGTATTGCCTCTCACTTCCTGTTTTGGCAATGAGAAAGGAAGTGAAGGCAAATGTCCTCCGTGGGACAGAGATGGCAAGAAAATAAACTGATGGGTCTCCCTCCCTTGCTCTATCCAAAAAGAAAAAAAAATTGGCTGAAAAAAAAATGTTCTACTTTAAAGTTGGATTTACATGGGTTTGTGGTGTTTGTGCATTTGCACTGTGTGAGAGTTCTGGTGTAGAAAAATGCAGCATGCTATATTTTTTTTTTTTTAACAAATGATAGCAATGCAGTGGTGAAAACTAGGCTGATTGAAGTGCATTCATTTTTCATGCATGTGTGTTTGTACTGTGTTTATATGCACCTGACTGCATCCTGTGCAAATGAGTTCTAGGGCTGGTTCACACAGGGATCACAGAGGAACACGTTTACAAGGTTATGGGGCAGCACAGTGGCTAAATGGCTAGCACTTTCGTCTGGCAATACTGGGGTCGTTGGTTCGAATCCCAGCCACGGCACCACCTACCTGGAGTTTGCATGTTCTCCCTGTGCCTACGTGGGTTTCTTCCTGGTACTTCGGTTTCCTCCCACACTCCAAAGACATGCTGGTAGGTGAATTGTATCCTGTCTAAATTTGGCCCTTGTATGTGTATGTATGAATGTGAGTTAGGGACCTTAGATTGTACACCCCTTGAGGGTTATGGACTGATGTGAATGTACAATGTAAAGCGCTGCGCAAATTGATGGTGCTATGTAAGTACCTGAAATAAATAAAATAGCCTTGCTAAGTGGGGGAGGATAGTGGCTAAATCAGGGGTGGGCAAACTTTTTGACTTGAGGGCCGCAATGGGTTCATATATTGGACCCGGGGGCCGGACTAAGAGTAGATGAATGATGTGTATGTGTCATCCATAGTAAGTATAGTAATATTCCCCCATAGTAAGCATAGTAATTAATCCCTCATATAGTAATTAATCCCTCATATAGTAATTCATCCCCCCATCATATAGTAATTCACCCCCCACATAGTAATTCACCCCCCACATAGTAATTCACCCCCCACATAGTAATTCACCCCCCCCCTATATAGTAATTCATCCCCCATATTAAGTCCCCAAATCCCCCGTGTCAATTCACTTACCTTTGCTCCGCGCGTTCCTCTTGCCGTCTTCCCGCGCCGTTCCGGTGTAGCATGAAAATCTGTCTCCTATGAGGAGCTGTCCCCTCGACGTATCTGCGCATGTGCCAGTTTCAGGCATTAGCAGCCGATCGGCGATCTCCGGCACATGCGCAGATACGTCGAGGGGGACAGATACTCGTAGGAGATTTTCATGCTACACCGGTCTTCAGGGCGGAACCCCGGTATATCGGCGGATGTAGCGGTGGTTCCTTGGCCGCCTTGGCCCTGTATGGCAGTACCTATGAAGGATTTCTCTTTCATTCCCGTTATCCATAGCACAGGTGGATGGGGACATCATGGTGCTTTGTATAGGAAACAAGATATACCATATATATTTTAACAGGCAGAAGAGTCTTTGGGATGTGTCTTGTTTTTTCCTACAAAAAGTGGTGTATAGTCCACATGTAGTGGTGAAGAAACCATTTCAAGCAGAGTCTGCTGTGTGCATCTTTTCTTCCATCCTGGAAATAAATGGGGCATATTCCCATCCAAAAGCTCTAGGAAACAGCTATCTATATTACAGATGAATGGGCCCCAACCACTTGTGCCGGCACAGGAATGTATTGTACAATATATTTGACATTTATGTCTTCCTTCATACAGGCCTGAGGCCTGCTACTCTCCTTTTTGACGCATATTGTGCTTGCTCCATTGCATACATGTGATATATATATCTACAGCATAATTTTTTGGATTTCTTGATAGGGATTTGCCATTATGGTTACTGTTTAATCCCTCATATCCTCTATTATGGTATGCCCATGGCATAATTTTTGGATACACCTCCCTAGGGAAGTGTTCACCTGTGTGTTTGTGTTGCAGGGACATTAGACTCATGTAGCCATTTTCCCTGCTACACATACATTTAGACCGGTTTTTGTGTCATTTTAAATGGTTTTAGGTCTGTGTGTATTGTCTCATACTGAGGTGATGGTAAACCAGGGCGAATGCCCATATGTCATATTCATTTGTGTGTAATAAAGCATATTTTTGGAAATTATTCCCTTAGTGTCACGTTCTGTTCATTATGTAGCCGCTTTTTTTCATGAATCTCTTTTTCACAACCCTCCTTTTTTTGTATGCCTCTTTTGGCTACTGAATGGAGACCATACATTGGGTGACACGTTAATGTATTTAATAACCTCTTTAATAACTATCTTAGGACTGTGAGAGGAGCCTAGCTCCGCGGGCCAGATTAAAAGGTCCGCCGGGCCGTAGTTTGCCCATTGCTGGGCTAAATAGTACTTCCGCCTGGCAGCACCAGGGTCGTTGGTTCGAATCCCAGCTATGGCACTACCTGCCTGGAGTCTGCATGTACTCCCTGTGCCTGTGTGGGTTTCCTCCGGGTACTCAGTTTCCTCCCACACTCCAAAGACATGCTGGTATCTTAAATGGCTCCTATCTAAATTGGCCCTAGTATGTGTATTTAGGGACTGATGATGCAAATGTACAATATAAAGTGCTGTGTAAATTGACGTCGCTATAGAAGTAACTGTGATAAATCAAATATTAAAGGCAGTAAAAAAAATAATAAAAGCAAACGTTATACTTACCTGCTCTGTGCAGTGGTTTTTTACACAGCAGCTCTGATTCTCGGGTCCCCCGCCGATGCTCCTGGCCTCTCCCTCCTACCGAGTGCCTGCAGAGCAAGCAGCTTGCTATGGGGGCACCCAAGCAGGCTTGCTCCTGCACCACTGCTCTGCATATCCATTCACACACAGAGTTTAGGCTTGGCTTCACCCCCTCTCGTCATTGGTTCTCTGGCTGTGATTGACTGTTCCCACTGCTGTCTCAGCCAATGAGGAGGGAGAGTCCATGGAGAGCCAAGGCTCTTGTGCACATTGCTGAATCGAGATGGGGCTGAATGTATGAAAGTAAAAAACCTTTACAACCACTGTAAACTATGGGGCCCTGTGGGACACAGAATATTTTCACAAAAATGGGTATTAAAGTGATAGACTGGAAAGATTTTGAGGGCTAATTCACAGCACAATTCATGTGTTCAGTGTGTGTTTTCACACAATTGTAATGTGTTCTAGTGAGTTTTTTTTTTTTTACTTAAAAAAATCAGAGTGCTAACGATTCCACTCACTCCCCCCCTATTTATGTGCATTTTTGCCCGTTAACACGTGTTCTAGTGCAAGCAAATGCATACTGCTGTACTTTGAAAGCGTTGGAACTGAAAGCAGTCATTTTAAGTAGGGTTATTGGGAAACATTGATTTTACTGTGCATGCATTCAGGATGCCTGAAAAGCATCTGGTGTGAGCAATCCCTGAGGTTGAGAGGTCAAGCACTATGGATGGCCAAATCCTAAACTACAAGGAAAAAGGATCATTGCCTATATTAGATGAATCCTGTTTTTCCTTTAAATCAGAAGTGCTCTTTTGGCAAAAGTTGTTTTTTATTTTTATCCAGCAGAACTTTGCCTTGATAAATTTTGTTAGAATCAGAAAAACTGTATATACGAAGAACTATAAAAACCTCAATCAAGTACCACTGTATTCAACACCCTTATAGTTCCCTTTTTAGTGTCTAATTATTTGTTTGGTTTTGGCAGGTTGTGGAGTTGAACAGTGACAGCGATGGATGCAGCCACTCAGGGAAATGGGGGCATAGTATCAGATGTGGTCTTTGTCATTGAAGGAACTGCTAATTTAGGACCCTACTTTGAGTCCTTGAGGAAACATTATTTGCTGCCTGCAATAGAGTAAGTTATTTTTCTTTACTGCTTTTGACTTTTGTGAGGAATATCACAGCTTTATAGTGTATATTTGTTATATATGTAATAGTTTTTTTTTGTTTTTTTTTTTTTTAAGTGGACCTAAACTCAAGGCTTAGAATATTTCAGAAAAACGCTGAACTATTCCAGAATCTGATAAGGGGAGTGGGTTAATCCTCTGGTGTAAAATCATACCTGTCATTTAAAGCATTCCACAGTTTTCCAGTTTTGGATCACATGACCCAAAGTTGTGAAAGTGGTGGTCTAGTGTTGAAGTAAGCCCACACAATGCTTCAGGTCATGTGACGTAAACTGTGCTGCAGCCCTGCACTTTCTATCCGTTGGCAAAGTTTTTATCCCCCCCCGTATTGTCTTGCTGTGTCCGACTTGGAGGTACCAAACTCTGGAAGCTGTTCCAAAAAAGGCAAGCAAATGTATAGTCACCAGTATTGCCTGTATTGTCCTGGCAGCTAATCTTTTCCCCTTTACTGACCTAGAGATATACACTATATTGCCAAAAGTATTGGGACACCCCTCTAAATCATTGAATTCAGGTGTATAAAATCAAGCACCTAGGCATGCAGACTGCTTCTACAAACATTTGTGAAAGAATGGGTCGCTCTCAGGAGCTCAGTGAATTCAAACGTGGTACTGTGATAGGTTGCCACTTGTGCAATAAGTCCATCCGTGAGATTTCCTTGCTACTAAATATTCCACGGTCAACTGTTAGTGGTATTATAACAAAGTGGAAGCAACTGGGAACAACAGCAACTCAGCCACAAAGTGGTAGGCCATGTAAAATGAAAGAGCGGGGTCAGTGCATGCTGAAGCGCACAGTGTGCAGAAGTCACCAACTGTCTGCAGAGTCAATAGCTAAAGACCGCCAAACTCCATGTGACCTTCAGATTAGCACAAGAACAGTGTGTAGAGAGCTTCATGGAATGGGTTTCCATGGCTGAGCAGCTGCATCCAAACCTTACATCACCAAGTGCAATGCAAAGCATTGGATGCAGTGGTGTAAAGCATGCCGCCACTGGATTCTAGAGCAGTGGAGACGTGTTCTCTGGAGTGGCAAATCATTCTTCTGGGTGTCTGGGTTTGGTGGTTGCCAGGAGAACAGTACTTGCCTGACTACATTGTACCAAGTGTAAAGTTTGGTGAGGTGGGATTATGGTGTGGGGTTGTTTTTCAGGGGTTGGGCTTGGCCCTTTAGTTCCAGCAAAGGGAGCTCTTAAGGTTTCAGACAATTTCATGCTCCCAAATTTGTGGGAAGAGTTTGGGGATGGCCCCTTCCTGTTCCAACATGACTGTGCACAAAGCAAGATCCATAAAGACCAATCCATGGATGAGAGAGTTTGGGGTAAAGGAACTTGACTGGCCTGCACAGAGTCCTGACTTCAACCCCATAGAACACCTTTGGGATAAATTAGCGCAAAGACTGCGAGCCAGGCCTTCTCGTCTGACATCAGTGCCTGACCTCATAAATGCGCTTCTGGAAGAATGATCAAACATTCCCATATACACATGGAGGAAGAAAAAAGGAATCCACATAGTGTAAAACCATCCAGGCGTTGCTGAATGGAAAAACTTGTTAAATCTACTCACATTAATCTGTGTCAGAGCCGATATTAGCATCACAAGCATAAGAAATCACTATAATAGGTATTGCTCAGGTCTAAGCAGACAATGGCAGCTCACCCATACATATGAGTAGTTTTGACACGTTTTTGCATTCAGCAAAGCCTGGATGGTTTTACATTATGTGGATTCCTTTTTTCTTCCTCCATGTCCCGTTCTGATTATATGAGGACCCAATTGCTATTTGAAGGAGTTTCTATCAGCTGGTGTGTGCTGCTGCAGATCGTTGCTCCCAGACCACAAGCGGTTATAGCTGGTTTATAATCTTACTACCATGGAGCCCTGGTGAGTGGATCCAATTCATTTGGTGGTGGATTTTTTTGACTCCCATTGTATGAGAAATTTAAAAAGGGGGAAAATGTCAGTGCGTCTTACGTCCGGTATTTCCACTGCCGCTGTGTCAGAATACCAGGCCGGCTGCCCAGCTCTTCTCTGCAGTAGAACCTTACCTGTTCCTCGGTCCAGCGCTGCGCAGTCTTCCAGCGCCGGTTTCTGTAGTGTGGGCTCTCGGCTGTGACACCCGGGTGCCCAGTGCGCATGCGTGAGAAGCACTGCGCTTTGTGAATGGTACGGCGTCTTCTGGGACACATGACAGGTCCCAGAAGATTCTGGACCAATCACAAAGCGCAGCGCTTCTCACGCATGCACACTGGGCACTAAAGGGAGGATAACTCTGCGCAAGTGAGAGCAGGTACCTGTCAAATTCAGGTACCCACTCCCCCTCCCTCCCCAAAGGTCAGCAGTCTCTTAGTCATGCCCTGCACTGTCTGCAGTCTCTGGTGATCTGTACTGTGTCCGCAGTCTCTGGTTATCTCCTGTACTATATGTCCGCAGTCTCTGGTTATCTCCTGTACTATGTCCGCAGTCTCTGGTTATCTCCTGTACTATGTCCGCAGTCTCTGGTTATCTCCTGTACTATGTCCGCAGTCTCTGGTTATCTCCTGTACTATGTCCGCAGTCTCTGGTTATCTCCTGTACTATGTCCGCAGTCTCTGGTCATCTCCTGTACTGTCCGCAGTCTCTGGTCATCTCCTGTACTGTCCGCAGTCTCTGGTCATCTCCTGTACTGTCCGCAGTCTCTGGTCATCTCCTGTACTGTCCGCAGTCTCTGGTCATCTCCTGTACTGTCCGCAGTCTCTGGTCATCTCCTGTACTGTCCGCAGTCTCTGGTCATCTCCTGTACTGTCCCGCAGTCTCTGGTCATCTCCTGTACTGTCCGCAGTCTCTGGTCATCTCCTGTACTGTCCGCAGTCTCTTGGTCATCCCCTGTACTGTGTCCGCAGTCTCTTGGTCTCTTGGTCATCCCCTGTACTGTGTCCGCAGTCTCTTGGTCATCCCCTGTACTGTGTCCGCAGTCTCTTGGTCATCCCCTGTACTGTGTCCGCAGTCTCTTGGTCATCCCCTGTACTGTGTCCGCAGTCTCTTGGTCATCCCCTGTACTGTGTCCGCAGTCTCTTGGTTCAGAATATTTTTTTTCTTGTTTTCCGCCTCTAAAATCTAGGTGCGTCTTATGGTCAGGTGCGTCTTATGGAGTGAAAAATACGGTATTTATATGTTTTCACTGATTTGAAAAATATTTTTGATTGGTCTGTCACATTCATCTGATATTATTTGATCTATGATTTATTCATAATATTATACTTTTTGAGCTCACTCATTTAGAAAAATATTATTTTGAAGAGCGCTGCCTTTTTTTTTGTAGACTGATTACCCTGCTACAGGGATGAGATAGCCGCTCGTGTGTGTGTGTGTGTGTGTTATGCAAATTATATTTTTCTCATTTACCTGAATAATTGATGTAAATAACAGTCAGCATAATTCTTATGTTATCAACTATTAAGAGTACAATTCAAATTTTATTGAACAAACCTCCTAATGATAACAGTATTTTTTTTAAACATAAACTTACAATGCACTGTTCCAACTTATTATGCACAGTAAATTTCAAAACACTTTATAGATTGTAAAGAACTGAAAATTGTCATTTGTTGTGTTTGCAGCATATTTACTGAAATCAAAAGCTATTTCAATCAAACTTTTAACAACATTTTAACTTTTTAAATATTTTTAACATAGGACCCCTTATTTGATAGCAGCTTCATAAGTCTTGCATCCATTGAACTTGTGAGTTTTTGGATAGTTTCTGCTTGAATTTATTTGCAAGATGTCAGAATAGCCTCCCAGAGCTGCTGTTTGGATGTAAACTGCCTCCCACCCTCATAGTTCTTTTGCTTGAGGATGCTCCAAAGGTTCTCAATAGGATTGAGGTCAGGGGAGGATGGAGGCTACACCATGACTTTCTCTACTTTTATCCCCATAACAGCCATTGATGCAGAGGTATTATTTGCAGCATGAGATGGTGCATTGTCATGCATGAAGATGATTTTATTAAGGAAAGCATAGTTCTTCCTTCTGTACCAGGGAAGAAAGTGGTCAGTCATAAACTCCACATATTTTGCAGAGGTCATCTTTACACCTTCGGGGCCCCTAAAGGGGCTGACCAGCTCTGTTCCCATGATTCCGGCCCAAAACATAACTCCACCGCCTTGCTGACGTCGCAGCCTTGTTGGAACAGGGTGGCCGTCCAACAACCATCCACTACTCTATCCATCTGGACCATCCAGGGTTGCACGGCACTCATCAGTGAACAGGACTGTTTGAAAATTAGTCTTCGTGTATTTTTCTACCCAATGCAGCCGTTTCTGCTTGTGAGCATTGATTAGTGGTGGCCGAATAGAAGGTTTATGCACAGTTGCAAGACTCTGGAGGACTCTACACCTTGATGTCCGTGGGACTCCAGAGGCACCAGCAGCTGCTCTCTTGATCCGATGCATGGATCTGACAGAAATCTTCTTCAATGTGCCTTTATCTGCACAAACCCGTCTGTGCTCTGAATCAGCCACAAATCTCTTAATAGTGCGATGATCACGCTTACGTTTTCGTGAAATATCTAATGTTTTCATACCTCGTCCAAGGCATTGAACTATTTCACTCTTTTCGGCAGCAGAGAGATCCTTTTTCTTCCCCATATTGCTTGAATATGGTGCTCTGCTTAATAATGCGGAACACCCTCCTTTTAGTAGTTTTTTCCTTAAATTGGGCTCACCTGCCAATCTAATTATCACAGGTGTCCGAGATTGTTTTCAGTGATCAAAAGGGCCCTGACACACAATGCTATCCATGAGTTAAACTGAAAAACAAAATATTTAATCTTTGTGACACTTAAATAGAATTTGCATAATAATTTGTAACACGGTGTGTGTATGTATATATGTGCACGTGTGTGTGTGTGTGTGTGTATGTGTGTATGTGTATATGTATATATATATATATATATATATATATATATA